ATTTATTGATGAAAAAATTGTCAATGTAAAACAGCTATTATAAAAAAAATGTTATTGTTGTAATTTATAATTATAAACGAAAAGTGCTTTATTCAAACCTGCCCGCTCTAGAGCTTGGTCTCACAATCCTAAGGTTGTAGATGTAATAAAATATGTAAGTAGTGTAAAGATTATCATCTGTGTTCAAAACATGAAACTACACAAAACTACAATGAAAACTACGATGAAACTACAATCATTGCATCCAACGTCAAAAAAAAAATTCTATTGTTGTTAAAAAAAAATCAAAATAGGTTGAGTTGGAAAAAAACTGCTTCTCTTAAGATTCCTTATTTAGATTTATTAAAAAAGTCCAAGAACAAAACGAAAGGCGCATTACGTTGATTCAAACCTGCCCGCTCTAGAGGTTAGTCTGACAATCTTAAGATTGTAAGCCTCCATGTAAGCGCACCCTAACAGTGTCGAATACGTGTAGATATTAATTAATTAGCCCCTTTTTTCTTTCGTTGATATCCATTAGTGTGTATTCAAGGACACAGTGACTGAGAAACTTATAAGGACATGCATATATTTGCAACTTATAATATTAACTGTAACCATAACACATCAAAATTGCAAGTCTGCTACAATATTTTTTTGAAACAAATTTTAAAAAATTTGTTTTTAGTTTTTCTTATTCGAAATGTAACAACACGACGTTATTCTATACACACACATGTCTACGTACCAATTTCTATAGATCTGTTCATTTTCAAATTCTGAATACTGTACGATGGCCAACACGAGTGACGAGTACGTCTTATACCTTAATTGATAACATTTTTGTAAATTTTAATAACGAGGGTGTTTGTACTGCCTTTGGTAATATTATCTCGGATCATAGGTCTGTTTGGTTAGAGATTGATAATCATGATTTGAAACCCGTACAAAAAACTTTATGGGACGACTTTTTAATTTTTGGACAATCTATCCAATGAAAATTGACATGATTTGTTTCGCTGTACTCAAATGAACGAAGCGTTTTATTGTTTTAATGATTTGTTTATGTATTATTTTAATTTAATTTTTCCTGAGCGTAAATACTCTATTAATGTTCAGAAAAAGATGTGGATAACGAATGAAATTATCCAGTCTAGTTGTAATATAAAAGATTTATATTCCAAACAAACATATCCCAATTTAGACTCCACTTATAAAGAAAATAAGAAAAAACACACTATATTAATTCGCAAAACAAAGAAACTATTTTATCAAAATAAAATTTCCAATTCCAATAATTCCTTACGCACTGCGTGGATATTGTATCTGAATTATCTAATAAAAAAAAAGAGGAATCGAATACTGTAGCTATATAAAGTAATAATAAATTAATAGACATTCCCTTAGAAATTGCTTGAACTGTTAATAGTTACTTTACTGGCGCTCCAATGAATATTGTAAATAAAATTCGTCGTTCTGATCACACTACAAATGTTACAGGTAGAGTAAATGTAGATGATGTATTTATGGATAATACAATTGTTCTATTTCCGTTTACTGAGCAGGAATTGTTTAGAGCGCTTAGTCAAAAATTAAAAAATAAAAGGTCAGCTAGAGCTGATGGTATTCCTTTGTTTTTAATAAAATGCGTGCATTACCGGCTTTAATAGAACCACTATCACTCAATTTATCATTTCAGACCAGAGTTTTTTTCCGGAGATACTAAAAATAGGGAAAATATTTCCTGTTCTAAAAAATAGGGGATCCACAGTTATTAGATAATTACAGGCATATTACTGTGTCCTGTGATTTCCCAAAAATTTTTGAATACGCCTATCTAGATAGATTAATGTCGTTTGTAAATAAATATAGTATTTTAACCACTCATCAACATGGATTTCGAGCAGGTTTTTCAACTACTACTGCCATACATTCTTTTTACGATGAAATTGTTAAATGTATTGACATGGGTGAGTGCCCCGTAGGCATTTTTTGTGACGTTAGTAAGGCATTCGACTGCATACAGCATGATAACTTACTACAAAAATTGTATAAGTATGGTATCCGGGGTTCTGCTTTAAACTGGATTTCTACTTTTTTAAAATATAGAAAACAATATGTGTCTATTACTTCTACAAGTGATGACGTTACTAACAACTTTAAATCTAAATCTAATTCCTTTGACATGGGTGTTCCTCGAGGTTCAGTCCTAGGCCATGTACTATTTATTCTTTATATAAATTCATTGAAGTGTTCGATAGGTAATAATATTTTCACAATGTATGCTGATTATTTATCATTAATTATTTCAAATAAGTCAACAAAAGACCTGACTACTAATCTAGAAAATACATTGTACAATGTGTCTAAGTGGTTCTTACATTTAAATACCGAGAAGACTAAATTAATTAGATTTCACAATAGGCAAAAAAAAATGTGAGTCTGTTGCGACAAATATTAACAACTGTACTATTACCAGTGATGAAACAGACTGTGTCAAATTTTTAGGAGTTACTTTGGGTGATACATTAAATTGGAAAATGCATTGCAATAATCTTATATCTACATTAAGTTCAGTAAGCTACTTAATGAAGTGTATGAAAGAAATTTTGCACGAACAACAATTGTTAAATTTATATTATGCACACGTGGAGTCCAGATTGCGTTACGGAATATGTTATGTCTGATAAGATTACAGTATATCAATTTAAACAAAAACTGGAACTATTTTTAGTAGATAGGTACCTAAGTATTTTTATTCTGTATTGGAATTTTTTTCTGCTATTGTGTCTTAGGTTAAGTTATTATTTATTTATTTGACTATTATTATACAAACCTTTTTTTGTCCACAAGATAAATAAAATAAAATAAAAAAATAAAATAAATACAGCTTATTTTTACCTACGCCTCTTTGTTCCCAAGATAACATTTTTTATATACCTAATGTTAATTGTTAATTAATTATAAGACGTATTAGACCGGGATTTTAGAAACAAATAAAGAAATGAAATGAAAGTTTATTTAATTTCCAAAATGTTTTATACTGGTAGTTCATAAACATGATAGCACCAACAAGTTAGTTTCTGAAAATCAAAGTATAACCCTTTAGTCTATTAATATTTTTTTCACGTGTAATTCGACTAGAGTAAGCATCAATTCAATAAAAATGATTTGAACTTATAATAAAACTACCAGAGCACTACAGTGAAGTAACTTTAACTGAGACAAATCAGTTAACAAAAGAGAAAAACATATAATATGCAATTAGATTACATATAAAAATATTTATTTATTTATTCATTTATTCATTTATTCATTCGTTCGTTCGTTCGTTCGTTCGTTCGTTCGTTCGTTCGTTCGTTCGTTCTTTCGTTCGTTCGTTCGTTCCTTCATTCATTCCTTCATTCATTCATTCATTCATTCATTCATTCTTTCTTCATTAATTCATTCATTCATTCATTCATTCATTCATTCATTCATTCATTCATTCATTCATTCATTCATTCATTCATTCATTCATTCATTCATTTATTTAATTCATTCNAGTCATTCGTTCGTTCGTTCGTTCGTTCGTTCGTTCGTTCGTTCGTTCGTTCGTTCGTTCGTTCGTTCGTTCGTTCGTTCGTTCGTTCGTTCGTTCGTTCGTTCGTTCGTTCGTTCGTTCGTTCGTTCGTTCCTTCATTCATTCCTTCATTAATTCATTCATTCATTAATTCATTCATTCTTTCTTCATTAATTCATTCATTCATTCATTCATTCATTCATTCATTCATTCATTCATTCATTTATTTATTTATTTATTTATTTATTTATTTATTTATTTGTTTATTTATTACTTAATTCGACTGCCTGCTTAAGGCTACTTTCTTTAGAATCTAAGTATTTTATAGTATTTAATAGTAGATATATTCAATTTCCAAAAATTTATTTTATTATTTTTGCAGATTAGGTGAGTTTAATAAGTTATTTGGAGGGAATCTCTACATAAAATAACGTCTAGATGGTACAGTTAACGTTTTAAACGATTTTTCAATAGGTAAAATGGTTTTAAAATATTTTTAAGATGATATTAACAAAAATTCAATACGTGCTTTAATTACAAGTTAATATTATAAAGGTATAAACAGAATTCATTAGACTTTGGTTACTTTTTAGAAATATGAGATCTCCCCTTTATAGGTAAAGCTATTAATCTTTTTCTTGACCGTTATCAAAATATTGTTTACTGAATTATGTACTGAAAATTGTAATAAATTGAAAAAATCGCTTTCTACAGTTTTTCAAAATACATAATTAAGGATATTTCTTCTCTAAATTGACTAGAAATATAATTTTATTTAAAATGGAAAACATTTTTACTACATAAAAACTAACCACTTTAGGAAAGACGTATGCGTCAAATAAAATCTTTTTAAAAATTTTAGTCAGTATTAGGACGCAAATAAAGTCACATACTCTGGAGACTTTTTTTGTTGTTGTCAGATACCTATATTTTTTAGTACTTCTTTTTCGGGTATACACAAAACTTTTACGTGTGATGAATGATTTTCCAGCTTTTTTTATGTTAGTTATTCCTTAACGTTAATCTTAATTTTCAAGAAAACTTCACTTACCCTCCAATATGTACCTATTAATTAATGAATTTATTTATCGACTTCTCATTTTTAATCTAAGATAATAATAAATGATTCATGTATAAATTTTATCTTTTAGAAAAAAAAATATATGAATTTGTTTTTCTGCAAACTAACAATTACTTTCTGTTAATTCAACATTTACGTACGGTACTAAAAAAAAAAACAAATATTAATTAATGATTTTTAAATACATAAATAATAAAAAGTCGGACAACTGTTGTAAACATTTCTTAACTTCAGAGAAGTTAAAGAGGCCAAAGTACCCAAATACTTTCCAGAGCCCTAATCTCACAAATTTCATTAATTTTAGCCTCTCATTCATAAGTTGCACTGGAATACCTTTTGCAAGAATTAAATATGAAAATTACGCAAAGAAACACTTACAGATCGCAAACAATCCATACAGTAAAAGTAATCTGAGGGCATGGGTCAGAATCATCGTCACAACCCACTGGTCAGCCCGAAGGGTATGCAAACTAGTTCGCGCACTCAGAAGTTTGCACTACGCCCGCGAAGAAGCTCTTAGGTGTTTAGCCCAATGGTCCGCTCACAGACGGCAAGGAGAAACTAATGCTGCAACGAGCAACGAGCTTTGGCGTTTCTACTAGGTAGAAGCTCCAATTACATCGGAATAGTTTCATGGGGAGCAGTTGGTAAATGTACCACAACTTGGGTGGGTAGATGTTTGAAACTGAAATTATTACAAATGTACAAGGTGTAATACACGGCGTTTTCTGCGTTTAAATTTAAGAATATTTTCTTTGATATACATGCATGAGTTTTGAGATGCAGGATGTAGAATTTTTTGAAAAAAAAAAGGTTCCAATTCACAGTAGTGGCATATACAGGGTGCGTCGATCGATATCTAGGAAAGTACAGCTCCGAAAAATTTCAAAATTTGGCATCATGGGCATGCCACTGGGGCGAACACAACTAAAATATCTAGAACTCTCTAGCACTTCCGGTTATAGCCTATATATTATTGCATTTTCGGATTCCACGTGAAATTTGAGGGTCACTTTATTAAATATTCCCTATACCTAGGAGTTATAGAATTTGAGATAATAATATTTAAAGAAAATTTTGATAGATGCAAGGATCCGCGGAGATGCTAGTAACTGTTTTCAGGAGCGTGATATCAAGTGGATTTTTGGTACCTGTAAAGGGGTATAGGTAACACTAAATTATGTTATACCAACAAATTGAAACATTTAATACTCGGTGTTTCATTTTTGCTATTACATTTTGATAACTTCAAACATCTATAACTTTGTTAACTTAAATGGAGCACCCTGTATTTTTTTAATCTGATGTATCCAGACTGAAATTTCCTTTCAAGCCATATAAGCATTGTTAAGGTTACCGTTACTACTTTTAGAGATATTTGCAATTTTTTATTTTTTGGACACATTTTCTCGTATCAGACACTCCAAAAATAATTTAAATAACTTGACATTTGTCTAGTTAGTTGGCAAATTAATGTTGTGTCTGAATAGTTTTTGCTGAAAATTTAAATAAAAATCCCTGGGGATCGTTTAAATTATACTAATGAGGATTATTTTAATTTGTTTATGATTTATGGAAAAAAGCAGCAAATTCTCCACATGTTCTTGAAATGACTTTGTCACATTTTCCAATTTTCCAAATTAAAATTGTCCCATTTAAAATAATGAAGTTGGTGTCGACTTCCGGTATAACCGGAAGTGCTGGAGAATTCTAGATATTTTAGTTGTGTTCGCCCCATGGGCATTGCCATGCTGCCAAATTTTCAAATTTTTCGGAGCAGTATTTTTCTAGTTATCGATCGACGGAATACCCTATATTCAAAGTTTGCTAGATGCATTTTTCTAAAAAATTATGGCGCAAATAATAATTTTTGACATTTCATAAAGTTACACCCTATTTCATATGACCATTTAATGGCTTCTTCTATTATATTTCTACCTTTGGTCAGAGAAAAAAATCAATAAAATAAAACTAAAATTATTAATGTTTATGTAGGGAGATTTGAAAAATTGTGGCGCATAAATATAATTTATTTTAAAGGCAACGCTGAGTTTTCTTATTCCAATTAAAGCTTCCTTAAGTCTTCTCTGCAATCCTAAATTTACTTTTTACTTAAATGCTGCATTGCCAAATTATAATTTTTGAAGCACTCATAACAACAAATACATATATAATATATTTACATACATATATTTTCTAATAAATTTGTTTTAAATTTTTTTGTTTAATAGAATATCGTTTATATCATAACTTGTAATAATGAAGACTTTGATTTTATACCAAGAAGTTTACTTTTTTATCTTTGGTGGTTTTTGAAATATGACTCAAGTAAAAAAACAGATATTTTTGAACAGGTGATATTGCGGGACAACTATTCTGCGCATAATGCACCGCTCAGCATCCACAACATCATACTTCCACAACATCATAGATGTAGCACTTACATCTAACTCATATTTTAAATGCAATAAACCTATGAGTTATGTCAACAATTAGACGGACCATCTGATACATCTAATAAATCGTTTTTTCCAAAATTTCGTTCAAATAGTTTTCAAACTCTGCCCAATAAATATGGAGTTCATACTCCGTGGTCGAAATTATAGAGAGTGACTCAGACATAATATAAAAACACTATTACCATAATGCGTATAAAATATAAAATGATTTTTATACGGTTCAATATTATTTATCTTTGTGCTGCTCGCTACGCACATCGATAGAATCTATAATCGTTTATAGACTGAGTTACACTGAACGTCGATCTATATTCTATCTCTATCTTTTGCACTTGGTATGGAATAGGGAAATGCTTCCCGTCCTGAGAAACGTCATAGCATAAGCGTAGACGAGGGGTCTAATTCCATGGCTATAATAAATTTATAAATTAAAAAAATACAACTGGGACGTTTTAAAATGCTGTAATAATTAAAATGGATCAAAGTGCCGGTTATAGCAAACCGTAAAAAAATATTAGATGTTATGTTTTATTAACTTTTTTCAATATTTCCTATATCTTGTTGCCTTTTACGCAGACACGCCAATGGATTTTCGTTCCCGGCACGCTTCATCCCCCTTACTACTCCAAAAGCTAGCGATGAGTCACTCTCTATAATTTTGACCGTGGAGAATTTCTGATGATTTAACACGTTGACTGCGGTACATACCTCTGGGGGTATGTACTCATTATAAAAAATATGCGAATCTCAATAATCACATTTTACTGTACCGCACACAGAAGAAGTTTTGTTACATATCCCCGAAGGTATGTATCGCAGTCACGGACAAAGTACATTGAGATTATCTCGCAGTCAACGTGTTAAGAGAAATGCAAAAGTTATAAATTTTGAGTTTTCAAATATTAAGAGATTTTTAAAAGTTAACAAATACAAAGACGCCAAATTTTTAATAATGATAAAATAAGGTGCAAGATTCAAACATATTTTTTCAAGCTTTTATTTAAGTTGCCTTGTTAGTATGGGTAATACGAAAATAAAATAACGTCATTAAAAGCTTGTTTTTAAAAAAATATATATACATGAACTTTTTCAATTACGTTTTACAGACAAATTATAATAGTTATTTATGTACCTAGGGAATTATAAGGGCCTTAATTACCGATGGCAAAGTTTGCGTCCCGAGGGCGTCCCGCCCGAGGGACAGCAATTGCCTGAGGTTATTAAGGCTCATTAATTCCCGTGGTACATAGATAATTTTATTTCTGACCGATTTCAATAAAATATTGTTTATTTTTAAAACGGAAAAAATGTACCAATTTATTACCTTCCCAGTATATTTGAATCAGGTACCATTGATTATAAGAGTTTTGTTGTTGCTAGGTTGTTGCTATGTTACGTGTTTATAAACAGAATTGTTACTTGCTTATAAACAGTACTTTGTTATCAAGCTGTGTTTGCGTTAAAAACGTGTTTTCTACCCCAAATATAATGGAGCAGATTTTGAAAAAAGCTGAAAAAGCAAGAGAATCATTAATTCCATCGAAAAGTGAAGCCGTATACCAAAAAGAATACAAGATATATCTGGAGTGGCTGACACGGAATAATGTTATGCCAAAAGATGCCACTGAAACTGTATTACTGGCATATTTTCAAGAATTGGTAAGGAATATTCTATGTTTTTCGGTAGATTTGGTAGTAATTTTGTTTATTCGTTGCAGTCAGAAACGTATAGTCCGAATTCTTTATGGACTAAATGGTCAATGCTAAAATCGAAGGTGAATATACATGAGAAACGAGATATCGCCAAGTTCAATGAACTAGAGGCTTTTTTGAAACGGAAGAGTAAGAGTTATAAGCCGAAAAAGTCTGCTGTTTTATCTCCTAATGATGTTATCAGATTTCTAAAGAACGCTCCTAATGAAATTCATTTACTGCATAAGGTAATTTTTTTCTTATTTTCCCTTTTTTTGTGTGTATTTATTTCCTTTTTTTGTTTTAGGTTGTTTTGATTATGGGTTATTTTGGAGGATGCAGAAGTCAGGAACTTTTGAATATGAAGATATCGGATATAGAGGACCGGGATTCCGTTATGGTAGTGAACGTACCGGAAAGTAAAACTGGTGTATCGAAGAAATTTACAGTTGTGGATGAAAAAGAGTTCTCTGCTTTGCCTTTATTAAGACTTTATATGTCTTTACGTCCTAAAGGTATTGAACGATTTTTTTTGCGCTTCCAACAAAATAAATGTACATCTCAGCCAATTGGAAAAAACATGTTTGGGAAAATTCCCAGCAAAATCGCAATGTATTTAGGATTGCCAAACCCATCTTCCTATACGGGACATTGCCTTCGTCGCACTTCTGCTACTGCTCTAGCTAATGCAGGAGCAACTATGACTAACTTAAAAAGACACGGAGGTTGGAAAAGTTCCACGGTGGCGGAGGGGTATCTGGAGGATAGCATCGAATTGAGAAATAAAACGGCGCGTATGTTGTCTACTTTGCCATTAGAAGAGGCAGGTACCTCGACTGTAGTGAACAGAAGCTCCAGCCATACAAAAGAAGAAATTGTTTCCAGTGGCGGTAGTAATTTTCAGGGAACATTTCAAAATTGTACATTTATTATTTGTAATGACGCAAATAAATAAAATATGGTTCAGTTTTCATTTCATAAATATATACACATATATGTATATTAGCATTTTTTATTTTATTTTTACTTGTGAAAGGTAGAGGGAATTATAGAATCTATAATGTCCCAAGGGAGTTATGACTCTCTTTATTGATAGCGTAACTATGACGATATAAGCTTACTAATATCCCGATCAGAAATAAATATTATTATCAACTGATAAATTAATAATTTTGATATCGATCATTAAATAAATCTAAATGAGAAATATTATTTAACTAGTTCAGGATTGCCTTGTACAAAGGCAAGGGTCTAAGCACAGACCACCAGTCTTAAGTATCACTGTTTTCACTGTACAGAGCCGTATTGGCCAGTTGTTAAAATCATATTATTTACGAAATCTTTGGAATGCTTATAACAAATTAATTCAAATTTGGTGTGGTGTTGTGTCAACATTTGAACATCTGCAAAATTTACTGTAAAATTTAAAATTTTTGTAGGTCAGTGGCGTAGGAATGGAGAGTAAAGTGGATTTTTTTACTCCAACTTCTACGCCCATGATCTAATAATCATTTGGGATTCATTTTTAGATTCCGTGGACAATTCTACATAAAAAAGGTATACTTGTTGAAAATGGGTATAGTGTACCGTTTTTCCGAAAATCTCAGTTGAATGGAAGACCGTTCCTCTGATACTGACTTGAATATTCTTCCATTTTTTACAAACACTAACTAATATTTCAAATCTTAATAAAATTACAGTTCCTGATGACAGATAAGTCTATTATTGCTTAGTTGGACACACAGCGCAGAATTAAAATTAATATGTAGGTGTAATTTTTTAAAGAAATTATATCTGAAACACGGCCGTTGAATGAGCAAGGATACCTATAATTGCTTCAGAATGGCACAAATGAAATTTTACAGGAGGTGCCATTGAATATGCTGTCCACCGCACTGTAGCGCAACAAAAAATTGAGCTCAGAGGGGAAATTCACCACATTACGAATGCAACAAATAATACACGAGAGATTATATTTAGAATTTACCAGTCGATCGTTTCACCGATATAAAGACATTTTTAATATTGTTTTGAATTCTAAGTTAACGCATGACATTATAGTAATATTAATTTAAAATGTATTTCCTGTCCTTAGGAAACTAAATTTCTTATCAGAACAACGGTCTCCCATTCAACTGAGATTTTCGGTAAAACGATACACTATACCGATTTTCAACAAATATACCTTTTTTATGTAGAATTGTCCACGGAATTTAAAAATGAATCCCAAATGATTATTAGGTAAATTTCGTAGAAGTTGGGGTAAAAAAATCCCACTGTACCTACTACCCATTTCTATGCCACTGATCTACAAAAATTTGTAAATTTTACAGTAAATTATGCACATGTGTAAATGTTAACACTACACCAAATTTGAATCAATTTGTTATGAGCATACCAAAAATTTCATAAATGATTTTAAAAATCGACCAATACGGCCCTGTACAGGGAAAACGGTTAGCCTGCTCAGACCCTTGCTTTATAAGGGAATTCTGAATTATTTATTGAGTTCTATTTGTGGTTAAAGTTTGATTCACTCGAACTGAAACACCCACTGTATATATTAATTAATAAATTTATTTATCGACTTATCATTATTAATCTAAGATAATAATAAATGATTCATGTATACATTTAAATCATTTAGAAAAAATATTAATTTCTTTTTCTTTCTGTTAATTTAATATTTAGCATATACCATGTACCTACCTACTCAAAAAAAAACAAATAATAACAATAAATAATTTTTAAATACATAAATAATATAGTAAAATGACAATTTTATTTGTCAACCACTTTAGAAATTATAAAACGGTGAATTTAAAAGTACTATTTAATTTGATATGGCTCGAGCTCGAACTAAATTTGTGAATATAGGCCAACGTTTATAACTATAAACGTTGAATAGAGGCCCTGTTCTTTTATTCACCATTACGATGTGATGGATTCCGTAGAGCCAATAAGAGATTAGAATTTTTTAAACAGGCCAATAGTAATACATCGATGGAATTCATGGCATTAAAACGAGAAATAAAAGAACACTATCATTATCATTATACATGTATATCGGCAGGAAAGGTAAGGAAATTGTAAGCAGCTGACGCAATCTAAATTTATGTTCAATGGTTCAAACCAAATCATAGACCATAGAGTCATTATAATGTACAATGGTACATAACATAATTCTATGGACAAATTAACAGGGCAAAAAGTCAAAAAATCCTCTTAAAACGAACATAACCTCTCTTTTTCGTTGTTAACCTTACATTTTGTAAATAATTTATATTGGCTTTTTTCAAAATTAATCAAAATGGATAACCTTTCTTCGTTATCAGGAGTGCAAAAAGATGAATTGATGGATCAGGTAAAACAACAAATTGCAGTTGCAAATGCTCAAGAACTACTGACAGTAAGTGTTAAGTAACCATTCGCGAAACCGTTTCTAATTAATTTTGTCATTTTATTATTTTTAGAAAATGACTGAAAAATGTTTTAAAAAATGTATATCGAAACCTGGAACATCGCTGGATAGTTCAGAACAAGTAAGATAATATAGTAATACGTAACCTAAATTTTAATTGGCTTTTTGCAGAAATGTATAGCCATGTGTATGGATAGGTATATGGATTCCTGGAATTTGATATCAAAAGCGTATAGTACGAGAATTCAAAGAGAAAGAAGTCGTATGTAAATATAGTGTAATACTATTTGGTCATGAAAGTGTCGTAGGTATATGCTGTAGTTTATATTTCTATTATTTTTTACAATGGAATTTCAAATTGCGAATGCAGGGCATATTGTGCTATTTTGCCTGCCATTATCATTGTTGTTAATAAAGTTGTCTCAGAACCAATGTTATTATTTTACCATTCCATTAAACAAATGTGTAGAAATGGTTAATACAAATTTGCATATAAATAAAATTATAATTTAAATTTAAAATAATATGTACAAATCTTAATTTATCCAGATATTTAGAAAAAATTATATAACAATTGAGAGCTGTCACATTATTACTGTATAGGTCTATTGTATAAGGTATTTAAATTATAAAATATTCAAAGTTTAAAAATTTTAATTTGAAGTGTAACTACCGCTACGATTACCATAACATAAAGAAATTTTGTCTGCAATAAAAATTGCGATTTTTAACATATAATGTTAAATTGTCAATTATTTGTATACTGTTTGCTGCAAACGAGTGTTAAAAACATGCTTAAAAATTATCGCATGTAATGAAACTAATACTGCCTTTTACACCAAAATGCTGCTTATGTGTAAAAATAAGAAAAATTCTAATTTAATTGTTTATTAAAATTATGAAACAAAAATCACAAATTTAAGGCACAAGTTTTAATGTACATAAATTAAGTATAAAACAAATAAAAATAAACTAACATCTATGATTAAGTACTCTCAATATACCGAGGAATGTAAAAAATTATTAGGCTTAAAGAAGTAACAGTACAAATCTGAACAACCATTTTAATTTGTTCAGAAAATCGCTGTTCTCTTACAACTATGGCACTTTTCCTGTAAATGTAAAAAATAGTTTTATTGTGTACATATGAAAGTACTTATTGAGTAATAATAATGATGTAGGTACTTTAAAAATAAAAAAAAGAATAAGACTTCTTGCATTTTTACAACTCTGATCTATAAAATTACACCTAGGAACAGTTATTGTCTGTCCACTCCATTTAAAAACATAAAACTTGTTCTTTAATAATTCCACACAAATATTTCTTAAATAGAGCTAGACCTTTAAGGTCTGTCGAGTTATTAAAGTTTTGAATGGCAAAAAATGAACTAATGTTAAAAAATATTTAAAAATACAAAAGTTAGGTAGTAATAAATTTTAATAAACATATTTGAAGTTATATTGCCATTAAGATCAAGTCTTTTATAGGGACAAATTTGTACTTCGCAAATATACTTTCATGAATAAAGTAGTAAAGCTTTGACAATTAGTAAATTCTAAGGTAAAAGAAGGCATCGCCCAAATTTATAAAAAAATTAACGACGTATCTATTTTAACAAACTATTCATTTTATACATGAACAGAAAGTGTGCAATTTATTGTCATTTAATCTATGATTGTATAAAATAAGTACAGCTGCCATTGTCTTAAATATATATATTTTTTGCTAAACAGAATTATTAATGTCCAAACTCTCATTAACAGTATTGCTGCCAACTTCACTCTTACTTGCAGTATCCGTATTCTTAAATGTGTCTTTTGTTTTCGAACTACTGACCAGAGCTTTAAACATCTGTTTATTACAATCAGATATAATTCTGTTAGGAACTTTTTGTTTTAAATCTCTTTTACTTGAAATGGATTTATCGGAACTCGTTGATTTGTTAGATTGATGTAGATCATCCAATGGGTTAGATTTTGTATGATCGGATTTCATATACTCAGATTTTAAAGACAAATCATCACCACTACAGATAAAATCTTCTTCATATTCGGCTTCCATATCAAACAGCTTATCGAGCTCACGTAAATTTGACTTATCTTTAAATTCCTTACTATACAATGAAGGTAGTATATCATTAACACGGGATTTGTTCACTTGTAAAGGCGGAAGATCCGATAAAGTGCTTAAACTATTTTTTGATTTCAATTTATCAGGTTTTTGTGGAGATACTTTAGGTTTATCCAATGTTTTACATTCTTTCAATATCGGTTGGAAAATTTCCACATCATTTACAAATTCACTTATTAAAGTACTGTCCCCTAAACCATTTACAGTTATCTGAGGAACTGTAACATTCTCTGAATTAACAAGGGAAATACTATCTTCTGCTATAGAGCTAGTATCACCATAAGTATCATCATCCTTCTCTTCCTTTTTGTTAAAAGTATTTTCTAAAATTTGATGCTTCGAATCTACATCTATTTGAGCCGTCTGTGTTTTCATATTTTCAGGATTATTTACAATATTAAAATTTACAGTAGGACTGCTTAAATCAAATGTAATATTTAATTTTTCTGGAACTGAATTACAATTTTCTATTAGTATTTTATCACTATCCAGAATTGTAATTGTCTCGTCCAAAGGTACATTATTGGAATCAGTCTTGGTCAAATTACTTGTTGAGTTATCATGTATTGACCTATTTTCTTCTAAATCATCCTTATTCACATTTAAATTTATTTCTAAGGTTTTTGTTTTTGCTCGAGCAATTTTAATAAGTTGCATTAAAAGAGGAACTTTAGTATCGTCAGCATTATCTAAACCCAAGTCTTTGGCTACCTTCTCTCGACCTTCATATTTATAGCCATTTCCCATGTAAGACTCGGGATCAAACACTGACAAAGTGAAATACAAGTTAAAAAACTCTAAAAACTCACGCACAACACAAAACATCACTTTTCCCTCTTCAGCCTCCAAGTGGATTTTAAGTTTATTATTCAGTAAAGGCTGTTGTTTGCTTATCTACAACTTAACTTAATTAGTAATCGACTTGAATAAATAATTATATAAGTTACCTCTACATCTTCATCCAAGGCAAGAAAAATACTGGCTCGTAGTTGTGCCTGAAATACATGTATTATACAACAATGAAGTCATATTTTTATATCCTTCATACCTTAATTTTAGCAAGACATCCGTTAGTTTCTAAGGTCTGAGCCACCAAATCTCTTAGTTCAAATTCTTCTTCAACTGACATTGCGAATTTCTAGGTTAGTAGCAAAAGGTACAATCTTTGTTTACGTTAAAGCTGAATGACGACTTTTAACAATAATAATCATTTAAGGTAAATTTTATTAATACAAAATGTGTCGATACTAATATATTTATAAATCCGTTATATTTACAAATTTTGAAAAAGATTTTGCAGGTGGTACTTCAACACATTTTAAACTACGTTTTATTTTACACCTGTACCCTGTTTTGTGCCTGTACCTGTCCTATTCAATAAAACAGTGGCTCTAAAAAGTTCACACTACATCTAACGCATCTTCATTCTAGCCTTTCTGGGTACTAATACCCAGAAAGGCTAAAGTTAGAGCCAAAACGAGAAAGTCATATACAATTTGCCATAAAGGCCTGTTTTATAACAATTAAATTTGTATTAAATCATAAATATATTTTTCCTACAAAAAGTGGAATTTGGAAATGCTTCAGCCCGTAGATTAGGCAACCCTTTATACAGATCTGCGCGATCTAGTCTAGTAAGTCTATGAAAGGTTGGTGAGACAGGAATTTTCTTTGAAATTTCGTTAGTGTGATGACTGATTTAATAATAATATAATAATAATATCTCTACTCCTCATTCTACGAGAATTAGCCCAGAAGTCGGAGACTTGTGCGGGAGAGGAGGCGGCATATTATTATTAAGCAGGCCGCATTTGCGCCCAGGAACGACTTATGTTGGTAGGCCCTAACCACCATTCAGTGCAGGAATGAGGGAAACCTGGAAAACCTCATTAATTAGGGGGGTGGTCAAATGCCAACCGGTGTCAATCTCTCACATTGACCCAAGTCAACATTCTTCCACCCTACCATACCTGCACAGAGGGTGCCAATCTTCCGTTCAAGCATAGCTAATCTACGGTCTACCGGCCGCGGGATTCGAACCCCAGGCAGATAGCACACATCGATTTAAGTACTGACGCCTTAAACCGTGCGGCTATCGACCGACTTCCCTGAAAGAATTGAAAGTATTTCTTGTAGACGAATTTGCTACGTTCTTCAATCTTGGATCGTCATAGTATCGTTATTCAAAACTGACTGAATATTATAAAAAAAAGGACACACTACATTGATTACAAATTGGGAAAAGATTGGGTAAAAAATGTAAACAGTACAAAAGAGAGAAATACCCAAAGTACTCAGTACCTGAATAGTGAATGCTGACTAGTGATTGTTCAAACATTCAATACAACATTTGAACAATTATTAATTAGCATTCACTATTAAAATAATGATATTTTGGGTATTTCTCTCTCTGCTCTTCAGCAACCGGTCATACTGACTGACATCTCAAGATTGTCAGTACTATTAGGATCATGTGATCTTTTCATTAGAAATATAATTTTGATTACAACACTCATATGATTAATCTGAAGGGCCCGGAAAAATCATGCCAATTATTTTCTCAAACTTTTCATGATTGTGTTAAAAATCGTGTATAAAAATGTATGTGAATAGTTATTAAAATAGGAGTAAACTAGGAGTTTACAACTGATAAAATTTTGAAAATATCCACTGGAATTTAATTTTTGTGTGGTTCTTACTGTTAATTCTTGGTGTCTCCGCTACTGACACATGTTTACGTCCTGAATTCAGTAAATTTTTACCTTTACACAGATTATTTGCCAGTTTCATCCAGCTACAAGAGACACCTTTTTTGAGATTGAGATTGAGATTCAAATGTAAATGTTTAAATAATAATTAGTATATGTAGATTACATGTTATAATAAATTCATAGACAGTATTACATCAAAAGGAGGTAGGAACAACTTCTAGTTTTTACTTCTTGATGAAGATTTTTGAGATGTTACCGAAGATCGAGATTTTGGATTTCTTGATCGCTTGATGGTTTTTAGTAGATTGTAAATAGTATCTGGATCAATGCCCATGTTCAGCAATTCAATAAGGATTCTAAAACATTTTTATTGTCACTGATTTTCATTTAACAATTTAAAAATAAAAATTTGAAAACAAAAAAAAACGAATACCTGAATACTTTATGGTCCATATAAATTCCTGCCAGTTCTCCTAGCTGCTGAAATTCATCCTGGTGCGGTTCTAAATTGTTATCAAGTTTGGGAATATTTTCTATAGTTTTTGAAGGCATTTGAAATTTTTGTTGACAGTTACGTAAAAAATGTACAGGTTAAGGTTAACTGTTTCGTACTCTGCGATTATATGGTAGCAGATGGCACTAGTGTGGTAAAATAGATCAATTGTTTGACGCTAGGTTTGGCGTTTGACGTTTAACTTCCTTTTTTAGAATATTCCATCGAGAAGTATCTTTAAAATTTGTTGAAAACTGTGACAAAATCCCCCCAAAAAACGTAAACTATGTCTTCTTTAAATGATGGGAACGATATTTATTCGCAGAATTATGAAAACTCCAGCCGTGTAACAGGTATTAATATTTTTTTAACACCAGCGTGTGATCATTTAACCTCAATCACTCTATTGATTACATAAAAAATGATGATTTGTAGGTAATTTTAAACCGTTCTCGTCTCCGTATCTAAATTATGACCCTGGATATATTCCACAAAGTCAGCCGGAATTTATTTTCTTGGATGGCGCCAGTAAACAGAGAGGAAGATTTGAACTTGCATTTGGCCAAATTGGTGGATCATGTATGATCGGTGCAACATTAGGGGGAGCTACTGGATTTTACAATGGATTAAAAGCAACTACATTAGCTGGTCAAACGGGAAAGCTAAGACGAACACAGTATGTTTCTTTACAAAAAATACGAAATATATTAAAGCCTTATCTACATTTGTACAATTATTCTTATTTTATACTAAGTAAATTAAAATGATATCATGAAAATGCAGAAAATACTTTTGCTGTGCTTTCTATATGTTTCCAAGTGTTGTTGGCTATTTGTATTGATATAAATGACTTTTTAGAATGTTAAATCATATTATGAAAAAAGGAAGTGCTACAGCAAATACATGTGGTTCGGTAGCTGTGATATATTCAGCATTTGGTGTGTTTTTATCATGGGCCAGAGGGACAGATGATGACCTCAATACAATTATTGCTGCAACAGCTACAGGATGTTTATATAAATCAACAGGTATACTATTACTAATGAATGATTCATCTGCACATATTAAAATGGAAAGAAAAATAAGTGTCTTATATTTTACATATATGTGAATACAGAGTAAACAAAACATTATTTGAAATTACTATAAATTGTTGAACAAGCAAGGTCAAATTTAAAAGTAATGCATTAATTTGGTCTAGAAGTGTGACTTTTAGTAAATAATAGAGATATTCTACACCACATACGGGTAAGAACACAAGTAATGTTTCTCAAAAAATAATTAATTATACAGAGCCTTAATAAGTGATCAGAAGCGACGTGACCAGTAATTTTGTTAAAATTAAATTTTGATAAAATTTGGTAATTGTATACAGGGTGTCCCAATTAAACTTCCCACCTGGAAAATATCGGAATTAAAAAAAAAACAAAAAAACAAAAAAACCTAAGATGTCGATTTTCTTTTCAAGGGGGACATATAATGGCGAAAGTTTTGGAATCTTGGAAGCTACCCCTTAGGCAGGGGCATAAAATACCCTTAAACTTAAATGACACCTCATGTTAAAGCATTTTCAATTCTGCTCACGACGACATACGACTTTAAATTTTGGATCTGACAATAAAATCATCACTTAAAGAATAAGACAAAATATCAGTGAATCAAAGAATGTTATTTTATTAAATGTTCAAATAGGTTTCCCTCCACTTCCATACATTAATAAAATCTTTGCTCCACTTCCGAACGAATATTACGAAGCATTTCGGACATTATCTGAGGACATTCTTCAACAATTCGCCGACGAAACTTCTTAAGTGCGTGCGGTGTTACTTAAATTTTCGATGTGTCTCCATAGAAAAAAGCCTAAAGGCATTAGATTTGTCAATCGGGGAGGCCACTCAATTGAACCTCTGTGTCCTATCCAGTGATTTGGAAAGTTCTGATTAAGAAAATCACGCACAGCTACGGCATAATGTGGTGGAATACCGTCCTTCTGAAACGACACATTCTCTTCTGGCAAAGAGTTGTCATTGTCCAATTCTGAGACTCAAATTTAGTTCCATTGCTGTGTGACCCAAGACAGCTACCTGATTACCATCAGATAGCGCCCGAAATGCTTCGAAAAGTTTGTTCGGAAGTGGAGTAAAGATCTATTATTGTTTAGAAGTGGAAGGAAACTAATTTGAATACTTCATAAAATAATATTCTTCCATTCATTGATATGTCTTATTGTTTAAGTGGTGATTTTCAGTAGCGGCTCTTGACATTGAGAATAGGTGAATCATATTCACTGATTAACTAAAAAGAAAAAAAAAGCACCGCAGGCGCTGGCAAAAATTTTCAAATTTTCAAGGTCAAACGGCTTTAAATGAATCTGAAAATTTTTAGTTGCATTTGCAATATTATCAAAAAACAGACGTTCGTATGAAGGATTTTCATTTAGTTTTTATAAAAAATAGAAATAGTAGTTCGGCTTGTGGACTTCTGCGAATATTAACGCACACCGTACATGTATGTTCCAAAAAAGCTTGTGGTTACGACAGCCTTGCATGATGTTACCAAAATTGCTAAATTCCTTCTTATTCCACACACACGACTTTACACCCACAATTAAACACGGCATACAGATAAGTTTTTTTTAATGAATACTCACAACACACAACCACTTATACTCCGAATACCATTCATTCCGAAACTTTCGAACGTACACCTTGTCGTTTGACTTCCCCTTTTTCCATATCGAGAGAATAAGACATAGGTCTCTCGCAATATATAAAAACCTTTTTGTCCTCAATTTTCCATCTGGAAAATGGCGTTTCCAATAAAATACATACAAATTACTACATACTACAATTACTATACAAAACAAATATTAACTAAGAACAGTTATAATCGTGCATTGGGCGACGTGTATCATATAAACTGTTAAAGGCAGGCGTTGGGCGATGCTGCTTCAATTTCTGCGTCACTCGTTCTCCCACGCTGTAGTTTAATCTCGAGTTGGCCGCCTCGTTGCCACAATGACCACCGTAAACAACATTACGAAGAGAAGCAGAATATAGACTGATATCAATCTGCGTCACTTGCGTATACTATACGTTGTATGGTATGTACGAGGTTGATGTTCGCGCTCAACGAAGGCAGAAGGCGTTCACTGTGCAACTATTATATTTATTTCTGCGTATTAAACAAACAAGCACAATACAATACATTTTCAATATAGAATTATATCTAAATTATAAAATTTATATAAAATTAAAAATAAGTTTAAATTGCACGACCAAACGGAAATTGTAGGTGACGCGGTGCGTCACTTGCGGCACCTGACAAGCTGCCACTGATGATTTTGTCATATCCAAAACCAAATTTTAAAAAGTCATATGTCGTAATTTAAAGTTTAAAGGCTTTTTACGCCCCTGCCTAAAGGGTAGGTTTCAAAACACTAAAGCTTACGCCATCACGTGTCTTCCTTGAAAAGAAAATTGACGTGTGTCAGGCTTTTTAAGTTTTTTTTTTAATTCCGATATTTTCCAGGTGGGAAATTTTAATTGGCACACCCTGTATGAAGGCTCTGTACAATTATTATTTTAGCTGAAGAATCTGTCATTGCTCTATGACCACTGTTCTGTGGGACAAGCTATATATGTTTTTTTTTTTGTTTTTTTTAGCTGGACTTAAAAGATGTGGCTTAGGAGGAGCAATAGGTTTTGGAGTGTCTGCATTATACGCTCTTTGGAATTCTAGGGATAAATTAACAGATTTACGACAGTTTAATCCAGCGTAAGATGATGTGATTTAAGAGGATTTGTTAACGTAGTTTAGAAACATAACTTGAAAAGAGTACTGATTTAAAGAATTTTTACTTTCATTTTTAATTCCACTCGAAGTATTTTTAAAAAACCATTAATTTTAATTCCATTTAAAAAGTATGGTATCGATATTACGATAGTACAATTTATGTACATACTAGCTGTTTTTATTAGTTGTTCTTATATAGTAAAATCTGGCTAATTTATTAGAGAAAGCATTCATCTTATTTTATTTCACACTTTGCTTTCATCTAACTTATTTTTCGTATGTATTTTGTGCTGTGACCTATATTGTTACATACATCTAATTTATAGGAAATGTGAATTTGTTTATTTTTTTGTTAATAAAATTGATTTCAAAGCCTCCGATATTTTTTTTGGCTTAGCTACTAATCAGAAATTCAAGTGATAAATCGTACTTCCAATAGCGATATTGGAAACACTTAAGCGACTCGATCGTTTATCACTTGGATTTTCTCCTCTTTAATCCGCTGAGAAAAGTTGATTTCAGTTTTTATTTTTGACAGGCAAAGGTAGAGCTGTGAGAAGGAGACAAGTGGTGTTCCCTGGAACTGTAGATTACGATGATTTTAATTGAATTCCTACGTGATGTAAATATATTTTTAAAATTTAATGTTAATCTATAGACAATGTACAAGAATAAAATTTTAATAAATCCTAAGTTATTCTTAGCAATTATATTTATAAACAAAACATTTTTAATAACACATATTTTGACAATAAACTTAAGTGGAAACTGAAGTTCCTAGTTTTTTTAATGTTCTAACAAGGAAAATTAATATTTTATTATACAGGGTGGGCCACCAGTAACGCCTTGGTCACTAGGGACCAAACGGCAAATGCTACAGAAACCTGTTTAGGTGGGTATGTGTAGGTTGATTACGGCTACATTTTAAAAATATTTTGAAATATACAGGGTGAAACAGGTGAACTTTATTAAAGGTTCTGCATACTTAGGACACAGTTTGTAAGATATTTCAATCTTAGTGAAAATGCAGACTTAGCGTGGAAATTTAATACAAGCAATAAAAAAATAATTTTAAGGAAGAAGCTTTGGAGGGTCTATTTCAGATCCTTGAAGTTATAAATTATTATATTTGTCATGACTTGTATTATACAGGGTGTTCAAAAACTGCTGAATACTTCTCTCAACTTTAAACAGCAATTACTTGGTTATTTTAAATGGGACACCCAGTATATTTTTGCTTTGGAAGTTAGGAAATTTAAAACTCTTTCAAACTGTGTATAGGTTTCCTATACCTATCTCTAACGGTATTGGAGATGTTTGTGCCTTTTCTTTTTTTTATCGATTTGTTTTTGTAAGATGTATCCATGTGTCTTTATCGAGGCCTTTATTGAATTGGTTTTGGTTCTTCTTGATGACGTCTCTAAATATATTGAAAAAAAATGCGGACGCAATTAGATGGCGCACCTGCAAATTTATCATATTCAGTGAGAAATTATATAAATCGAAAATTTAGTAATAAATGGATAAGTAGGAATGGTGCATGTCAGTGGCCACGTAGGTGTCCAGACCTCACCGTAATGGACTTCTTTGTTGCGAGCTATATAAAAAATCTTGTACACAATGTTTCACCTACTACTTGCGATGATATTGATGGGAAGGATTAGAGATGCATTTGTGTGAGAATATCATTTGAAGATAGAATAAGATGCTGTATTCAAGAGAATGGTTATCAATTCGAACATCAATTAAAATTTTTTCCTTGTTTCGTCTAAAAGTAAAATTTCCTTTTATCATTATCATGACAATATTAAAAAAAGTTTTCTAATAAAAAATATTATTTTATAAGCAGAATAATTATAAAAGTTATTAATTTTGTATAAATATGTTTGTAGTAACTGAATTATTTATGAATATGAAAAATATTAAAGAAAATTTTACTTTTAGAAGAAAAAGAAAAATTTTAACAGATGTTCGAATTGATAACTATTCTCTTCAATACAGATTGTGGCAAATGCATCTCTAATCCTTCCCTTCATATCATCGCAAGTAGTAGGTGGAATACTGTGTACAAAGTTTTTTATATAGCCAAAAACAAAGAAGTCCATTGTGGGAGGTTGGACACCTAGGAAGCCACTGACATGGACCATTCCTACCTATTCATTTATTACTAAATTTTCGATTTATATAATTTCTCACTGAATATGAAAAATATGCAGGTGCGCCATCTAAATGTATTCAAATTTTTCTCCTTATATTTAAAGAGAAGTGTTCAAGAAGAACCCAAACCAATTCAATAAAGACGCGGATAAAGACATGTGGATACATCTTATAAAAAAATTCAATAAAAAAACGAAACGGCACAAATATCTCCAGTACCGTTAGGAAACCTATAACAGTTTGAAAGAGTTTTAAATTTCCTAACTTCCAAAGTAAAAATATACTGGGTGTCACATTTAAAATAACCAAGTTATTGCTGTTTAAAGTTGAGAGATAAGTATTCAGCAGTTTTTTTAACACCCTGTATAATACTAAGTGACGACAAATATAATAATTTATAACTTCAAGGATCTAAATTAAACTCTCCAATGCTGCTTCCTTAAAATTATTTTTTTATTGCTAATATTAAATTTCTACGCTAATCCTGCATTTTCACTAAAATTGAAATATCTCACAAGCTGTATGTCCTAGGTATGCAGAACCTTTAATAAAGTTCACCTTTTTTTTATGGTGCTTTAAAAAATGCAGTAAAATACAAGGAGTTCCATTTAAAAATACATAACTTTGATATGGTACGCTTTTCCTAGGGACCCTGTATATTTCAAAATATTTTTAGAATGTAGCTGTAATCAACCTACACATACCCACCTAAACAGGTTTCTGTAACATTTACCGTTTGGTCCCTAGCGACCGAGGCGTTACTGGTGGCCCACCCTGTACTTGTTTGAAAACATCTTATTTTCGTTTGTATTAATAATAATGTAAGATGGGATTTTTCGGGTTAGCGTGGGGAGAAGTTTTCCCGATCTCGGATTCTTTCTGTGTGCTGAATAAAAATAACAAATACAGGGTGTTCTTAAATAAGTGTCGCAACGGAAAACTAAATTCCTCTTGAAAAAAGAAGCATTATTTCCCTATTCTATTTTTCTCTCCGGGCTTTCATTTTTGAGATACCTACACGGTGTCAAAACTTCGCCGGTCGCCAGATTTATCCCCACTTGATTATTTCTTATGGGGTCACATGAAGAGCATTGTCTATGAAACCCCTGTCAATACGGTCGTAGAATTGACCACTAGGGTTGAAACCACAGCGGAACAAATTAGAAATATCCATCAAATTATGAACAATGTTCCTAGAAACATGATCCGGCGATGTAATGCGTGCATTCAAACCAATGGACGTAATTTTGAACAGTTTTTGTAAATTTTAGTCGCTAAAGTGACAAAAAATTATTTTTAAGTTTTTTTAAATTAAAATCCTATCTGTTCTTAAATTTCGTTAAAATTGATAATTATTACTACCTATTTTTTGAAGATTTTCGAAATGTTAGCAAAATGTTTGTTTTTGTTCATAAAAAAGCATTTTTCTTGAAAACGGTTGACTTTAGAGCAATGTATCAAGAGAACTCTTTTTCGTGTAAAATTCATTGGCGCTTGCTGTCAAATGTCAATTTTTTCGGTAGCGTAAAAGTTAAGGGGGGAAAATCCCTTACGATACCTTAAAATCTCCACCACTGGAGAGTGCAAAAAAGAAGCTACTAATAGTGGTAATGTGTGTACAAAAACTCAGTCCAGTAGTTCGAACGGTACCAAAGATATTGTCAAAAAGCTTAAAAAAAATTAAAGTTTTGACACCGTGTATCTCGAAAACGAAAGCCCGAAAAGAAAAACGGAAGAAGAAAACCATGTTTCTTTTTTCAAGAGGAATTTACAGTTTTCCGTTGCGACACTTATTTACGGACACCCAGTATATTTTAATTCATAAATGTTTGAATATCTGACACATTGCTGTAGTATTTTTTGACGTTTTGTCCACCTTATCTGACAAAGAGTAAATTTAAAACAAATCACCTTTGAAATAAAATAATTTGAGAGTAACCATGGATCGAACACATCATGCATGCCAAACACTATTGTCAGCATTGTTTATTTTATGTCGATTAAATTTATGCCGATAAAATGTACTCAGAATAAATTCCCCATAACATCCTTTTGAGTAAGCGGTACAGAGTGATTCACTATATTTTGTGAATCGACTCCATAACATAACAGATTTCATAGACTTACCTTTTTCGACAAAGTAAACTGGAAGAATATCGTCACTTACTTGATTTTGTTCAGAATTTGCTATTTAGTAAAATGCTGATATTCTCGTTCATATCTTGACCTGGATTTCACTGGAAATAAATTCGCGTTAACTTGTACTGGGTAATTCACTATATTTTGACTCCCCCCTTTAACTTTTTTGTTTTAAGAGTTATAAAAAAATGTGAAATACAAAAGTTGCACTATTTTTTTATGAAGTTTTTGAAATTGATAGTAGAAAAACCAATGAAGACCAAACATAATGGCCGTGGATGTTAACTTTGTTAATTTAAATGGAACACCCTGTATATTTTTACATATCTGGATAGAACGTTCCCTGTCTAGTATAGGTCATATAAGGTTTGTTGGGTCCATCTCCAACAATAAGCGAGATAACATTAAAAAACGAAAAGAAGATCTTTTATTAAGAAAATAAGATATTTTGTAATTGTTCAACAAATATCCAAAAACTATTGCTTTCTGTAGGTTATACATCAAAAAAGTCAAAAGTTTTAACAGCAGAACAAGTAACTAAATTTTTATGTGAGGCTGCAGATGAACAATATCTACTACCAAAAGCAATTTTAGTGTTTCGGATCTTTGGTGTGTGTGTCGAAGAGATCGAAAAACTCGTACATGAAGAAGTTTCACCATTACCAATGTACATGTATATTTGACACTGCACATTTTATCCTAAATATGCAGCTCTACGACCTAAAAATATGAACAGCAGAAGATTATTTGTTGCACATCGAAACGGCAGGTGTTAAGCTCAACACGTTGGATGCCATACCATCAGTGATGTTCCAAAAATTGTTGCAGAATACGTAAAACTCATCTCAGAAAATATACCGGGCATGGACTACGGCATTCCTCGGCAACCATGTTGGTGTAAAGCGGCGCTAATTTCCAATGTAGTAGGATATATAGAAGAATCCATAAAAAAAACTATTTAACCCTTCTCACTCGCAAAATATAACAACTGTATCATTTGTTCGAGAACATCAAAACATTTGCGAAGAGTCTGCTTCAGTAACTGCAGTTTCACAAAATGAAACTCCAAAAGGACTACACCTGTGCAATAATAAAAAATTGTGTCTTTTTTTTATTGTATTGCGATGTGACAAACTTACATCATGTACAAGACTAAGAAACTACTTCTATAAATAAGTTAATAACATTTACAATAATTGCTGAAACAAACATTTTTTTTGAACGCTCTGTATCTTAAGAACCAAGCCGTTGCGGACCCATGTTTATATGAACTTTTTATCTTAAAATTAGTCAAAGATTCACCCATTAAAGTTTGTACAAGTACTTAATAAACACCCTGTATGTATCTACGTTCAAAAGTTCACCTTTGCATATATGGTAAGAAAATGAATACGTGGTTGCATAACTTCGAAAAGTACTTATTCACATTATACCAGGATCGTTTAAAAAAATGATTTACATTTAAATGTTTCATAATTGAAGATGATTCATTTTCATTTTAATTGTTATTAAGGAGAATCATTAATATGAAAAAGATGTTTACTTTTAAAGGAAAACTTTGAAGAAAGTTAACAGTGAATTAATTTCAAAATAAATTGCATCTATATTATGTCGCTGTACCTGTAATATACACATAAGAAAACAGGTGTGCCTATTTATCGTTTTGAGCAGGTAACGACGCCACGAATACGTTTCTGTTTGTAAACAAAATTTAAAAGTTCTGTTATCAGTTACTGTTATCAAGATCTAGAGCAGAATATTACTTGTATATCTATAATCTTTATTTACTTTTCATATCAGAGAACATTGGTGACTAATTTATCATCTGCCTTTTGGAATTAGTGTGAAATTAATTATGTTACACCATTTCTAATTTTTTATAGTGTATGTTATGATGAGTTAAACCATATTTTAAAATTTTAGTGCAATTATGGACCAGTTATCTGCAGAAAAGAGACTGACTATCACCTACATATTTTGCATAGCTGTAGGTGCTATAACTAGCATAACGACAGGAATCGCATGGGGTCACTGGTACAGAACCTTAGACCAATGTGTGGGCGATCGAAACTGTAGCTGTATAATATATGGTGAACACACAGCTACAGTTTTCTTAGGTATGTTCTGTCCATTTTATTATTCTTTTATATTAGTATTTTAAAACTCTGATATTCAATTTAAATTATATTTGTAGGCGGACCACAAGCTCCCTGCATATGGGTTACATTCGGGCCGCTTTTTTACATCTTCTTCTGTATTGGTTTAACCTGTTTCCATGGTTATCGAGTACTTTTCACGACAAAGTCCCCTATAACTAGAACTATGCGATCTGTTTTAACGAAAACAGAGTAAGTGTGAATTTTTTCCCTCTATCGTAAATAAAAAATACATATAAATAGTGCCTAAATTATAAAAGTAACTCCCCATTCATTTTCTAGATCAGGGGAAACAATTCAGATTCAGGCAGTAACCCAAGAAATCACTAGTCCACTTCCTAAGGCGTTTTGGATATGCGTGACAGTGTTATCAGTTTTCTTTACAGTATACTCTATAGTACATTTTGCCGTTTATGTAGACGGTTATTATAAAACTTGTAACCAGTACCGGAAAACCTTAGAAAAACATTTAAGTTTGCATGGTTCTGCTTTGCCCGTTCTTTATCACCGGTTGTCTTGTCAAGGAGTTTTCGATTTTATGGATTATATGCAACTGGACACGGGAAATGCTTATCGTAACGGAATTATCAACACGGGTCTCTCTTTAATTCTTGGCGTCGCCAGCGCTGGAATGTCGTGGATCTTATTCTTACATTCAAGTATCCTAAATATAATGTTGGCTAAAGCAAATTAAAACCCATACAAGGCAGAGCGTTATGAAGCTTTATTGCAAATTTGACATTACAGTTAAGAAGAAAAGCAATGAAGATTAGTTTTTAGGAATATCAAAATATTTTTTAATGTTATTTATTCATATGTTAAGGCAAGAGGCATAAAAACTGATTTTTGCAAAAATTTTAATTCTGATATCTGCAAAGTATAGTTTGAAAAAGTATATATTAGCACATAAGTAATTCTAAATAAAATATTTTTTAATTTTTAAATTTACATAATATACAGGGTGTCCCACCAGGAATCGCCACTATCGATATCTCGGAAAGTACTGATCCGACAAATCTGAAAATTTGGCAACCTAGCAAAGGCAGTAGAGCCAACACGGCTTAGAACTTTATGACACTACCGATTATACCGGAAGTCAACATTATCTTTCGTATTTTAAATCAGCCCCTTCGAGTTATTTTATTAAATATTTCCTATACCTAGGAGTTATAGATTTTGAGTTACTAATTTTTTAAAGAAAAAATTTGACAGATACAATGGTCCGCGGAGATGCTAGTAACTCGTTTTCAGGAGCGTGATATCAAGTGGATTTTTGGTATCTGTAAAAGGCATATGTTACTCTAAATTATGGTATACCAACAAATTAAAACATTTCATACTAGGTGTTTCGTTTTTGCTGTTACATTTTGATAACTTCAAACAGCTATAACTTTGTTAACTTAAGTGGAACACCCTGTATTTTACTCTGTCGTATGCAGTTTGAATTTTCCTTTCAAGCCATATAAGCATTGTTAGGGGTGCCGTTACTACTTTTACGGATATTTGCAATTTTCTATTTTTTGGACACTTTTTCTCGTATCAGACCTGTTGTCAAATTGGCCATGACCAGAAACACTTGAAAAACAATTGAAATAGCATGACATTTGTCAAGTTAGTTGTCATTGTTGTGTCTGAATAGTTTTTGTCAAAAATTTAAATAAAAATGCCTGGGGATCGTTTAAATTACACTAATGATGTCAAGTTATTAATTGGTTTTGGACTCTTTGTAGTCATGGCCAATTTGATAACAGGTCTGATATGATAAAAACTATCCAAATAATAGAAAATTGCAAATATCTCTAAAAGTAGTAATGGCAACCTTAACAATGCTTACATGGCTTGAAAGGAAATTTCAATCTGCTTATAACAGAGCAAAAAAATTCAGGGTGTTCCATTTAAGTTAACAAAGTTGTAAATGTTTGCAGTTATCAAAAATGAAACACCTAATATTAAGTTTTAATTTGTTGGTTTACCATAATTTAGTGTTACCTATGCCTTTACAGGTACCTACCAAAAATCTACTTGATATCATGCTCCTGAAAAGAGACTAAGAAAACAACTTTTTTGAAGATTTTTTTAATTTATTTTTCATTTAAGGGTAACACCACTATATAAAATCCTAAAATATAGCTTTTCTTTAGAATATTATTTTAAAGATATGGTCAAAATTTGCAGGGAATGGAATGAAAATTGTTAGAATTATGCTGCATGCTGTGTTTCTAGAAAAACACCTTTAAAGTTTTAAGATATGCAACTAACATATTTTCGTGGAAATGCTTCTTATTGAACTCAAACGTTTTCTAACGACATCTATTAGTAGTATTTGAGAAGTTAGAAATCAAAATGGAAGTCCTGTATCTATGTACCGCAGGTAGTCGTTTCCAAGCTTAAAACTCCTTTCTTCGTATTCTAGAAGATTCACAACACCGTTTAAATCAATAAAAAAAATATATTTTCTGAAAATTTTAGTAATTTACCCCTTAATCACTGTGAAATTGTAATCGCTGTTGTATAAATTTGATCAATAGTATATTTAAATTTTACAGTGCAAAGGTTTCAACAGTTAATTGTTATTACCATTTTGTGGCAGCAATTAGCGATATAGTTCTTAATAGATAATTCTACCTTCGTTCCCTCTCTAAATATAATAACAATATTCACATTTATTATTTGTTATATTGCCTTTTGTCTGTTGTTTTTATCATATAATTTGTTATACATACATTAAGTACAAATTTTGCTCAAAGGTTTGTTAAAAAAACCCTTAATATATGCAACAAGATTTATTGAAATGCACAATACAATTTATAAGAGTGTAATTAAGTATTTAAAACTAAAAATAAATAAGGAATGTAACAATGTTTTATAATATAAACAATAATGTATAATAGGTACATTTTTATAACTTAATAAATAAATATTTTTTATATAAATGTATGTATATATGGCCACCAAAGCACAATTTCAGGGTAAACTAGAACTGCTTAGGCCAAACTATTGGACTGATTAGCTTTTGTCAGTAACAAGTTTACCTAAACTACATTTCGAAGGAATTAGTTTTTTCCAGATTAGCTTAGGTTAGATTAATGATTACCTTGTAAATTATCAATAATATTTGCAACTAATTTCAACAATATATCTAAATTAAACCAATTCACAGTAACGTTAGGTGGGTTTGTTCTGGTTTAACCTAGAAAAAAACTAAAATTATTGATAGATCTTGTGACGCCTAGGCAAAACTTATTCTACCAACTAGCTAGTAATACTAGCTTAGGCAACACTAGTTTATCTTGAAATCAGGTTTTGCAGGTAACATATATAGTTGTAGACCTTATCCTTATATATTAAATCTTTATGAAATAAAAAAGCTGTATACCAATTTTATTAACGAGAATTTAAATACATGGTTTATACCTTTGGTTTATTTGTAAGTTTTTGATTTCTCAATTCTTTAAATATTCAAACACTATTCAAATATATCACAGTCCAGCATATATTTTCACTTTATTTTTCAATGGTTGGATTAAAGTGAACATTGAAATATCATGAATTTTTCAACCAGGAATGAAATTTTATATTTTCCCTTTTGGTATAATAAAAAATAAATGCACAAAATCATTAATTTAAAAAATGGTATTTCTTGTATAAACTTAATTTAAAAGAAAAAATAAATCCCCATGCGGATCCAGAAATGACACAACCAGAATGATAGTTTTTCTTTTCTTTTTCCAATTTTTTTCTCATTTGAAAAATTCTATAAAAATTGATGACTTTGCTTAGCAAGAAACTCTTAACAGTTTCAATATTTGTATTTAAAAAATACGATTAATTTCTTCAAATGAAACTATATTACGTAAATTATGAAGATCTTTATGTATTACGTACTTCACATTAAAAAAGTACCCTATAGTAAACAAGTGTAATTGTTCAGTATCTCATCTGTTTAAATTAAGCAGAAATATTAGAATTTATAAGAGACTTTACTTGACAAATCATCATACAAATCCTTGTACTTTTGCTCACACATTTTCTGTACACAGATACAATGCGTTGATTGTCCCTCATATATTGTGTTTATGGAATTTTTTCAATATACATGACATATCCCGTCTACTTTACAATTTGCTGCTCATTGAACAAATAATAAGGCAATCTATAGTAGGATCATATTCGATGCAAAGTAATAAATTGCCTCTCAAGGGATCCAGTGCAGTACAGTTTTAAAGGGTTTAGAAATTGAATAATTTCTTTATGTATTATGAAGGGATGAAGGGATCAGTTCACGTCTGTCACCCTGTTCCTACAAAAATTCCTTTATTCTGATTTATTTTAAATGTAATTTATTATAAATCCAATTTTTTAAATTCCACATATGTACTACATTTCACCTCTATACGCGCCACTGTTGTTTAATTGTTTTTTGGTGGTAGTCTCTGATTTACGACCAAGCTCGCCAGATGAGTATTTGACGTATAACCGACCATTTCGTACACTCGATGCACCTGGGAGCTACAGCTACTACCAGAATACAGTGCGTATGTAGCGGTATGAATATGGTTCATCTTACGCCTCCTAAAAATAATGACAAGATTTTTCTTTGATAAAAAAACGACAATTTTTTGCTCTACTTTGCATCGAATATGATTCTACTATAATGTTTGGGAAAAAGATGGAAACATAAACAGAATCTGTAGACATGTTGATACATGTATATAAATAGATCTCTTAAATCCAGATACTTGTGCCCAATCTAATCATCGCTTTGTACTTGGAAAGGTTTAATTTTGGAGCGTCATGTAGTGGCTTACACAAATATATGTTTTTAAATTAAACACTACATAACTGAAATCTATGCAAAACTTCCTTTATCGCAATTTAGAATTTTATGCAATTTACCTCAATAGTTCTTCAAATATTTTTGTAAAAGTATTGAAACACCTAACGATTCGTTTTGTGCATGCACTATGTCACATCAATCGATAGATCTTTTATTTATTTTATAGTTGTACAATAATATTCGAGATGTTCCGGATGTTAAAGACAAGTAAATTTACTCCACTTTAGTAACAATGATTAATACAGTTCTGCAATAAATTTACAGACTAATGCTCGGTACACTTTCAGCAAATTTTGGGCCAAAATTCCAAAAAAATATAGGAAATAATAAATCAACGAATACCTCAAATATTACTGAAGTAATAAAATATACAAATATATTTGTCAACATTTTGATAGAGAAAACCGAGTACAATCAAAAATATTTTTAAAATGTTTGGCCACCCTATGATGTTCCAGAATTAAACTTCTTTCAGTAATTAGAGATATTTTGTAATGCAGACATCCCTGACTTTTACTTTCACCAAAATTGTAATGTAACGTCGAGAAAGCTGTTCGTAAAGTCTATTTACGTTTGTTTTATATTAATGATTATTATTTTAGGAAAAATTGTGAAAACAAAACTTAATTAAGCTTATTAAAACTATAGTCAGAAAGTATATAAAAATCTCACAAAAATTTAGCTGTTTTCAAGGGCGTTTGTTCATCAATTAATAGTATTTGAAAAAAATTTAATGGGGCAACAATAGTCTTAATTATTTCTTTACTTATTATTACCAGAACTTCATATTAGATTATATAAATTCTGCCAGACAAATGAAAATTGAATCTAATAAATTTTGTGTTTTTCTTAAAACATTCTTCTTAAAAAATTGCTAGTATTATCAGTATTTTGTCTTAAATGCATAACGAGTGTGTGGTAAAACTAAGTTTAACACTTACGAATGATGATTTTGTAGATTTTCAGAAGTTTTGAATTTCTATATGACTATTATTATATTGTGATGGACTATATATGTTTTTTTTTTTAATTTATATTACTTGTGATATTTTTTAAATAAACTTCATAATTATAAGGAAATGGGAGCAACTTCTCAAGCATCAATAAAATCTCTTGCATAAATAATATAAGAATCTGTAAGTGCAAAACATAAAGTAATTAAAGATACAATTTAAACAAACTAATACACAACTAATTACGAATAACAGAAACTTACGAAGACTTTATTTTTCACCATGCCAAATACGACGTACTTTGTTATTTTATTAGCTATTCGAGAAAAATTTTATCCATCCGTATTATTTTTTTTTAGTGTCAAGAACTTAATTGGAATTTTTAACTTTGTGATAATTTTTCTGCAACAAAAGTAATTCT